CATTCCTGCAGGATCTGCAGAGAGAAGATAAAGGAATTGAAAGGGCAGAAGTCTTTGCAACAGGTATCTTTCATTTCTGTCATTCCTCAAAATGAATACATTCCTTTTTAAATGGACTGTACTTCTCTCCTGAAGCACGAGTTCAGTCCTCTGGCAGGTTGAGCATTGTTGCAGTTGGGGTAGCTCTTGAATATTTCTGGGGTTTACTGCTTTTTTCAAATTTAGTATCTGAGTCCACTTAGGCTGATGAAAAATGCTTCCTTATATCCCTGTAGCATTCTCTATTACCACTTCCAGGTAGCTTCTCTTCATGATGCTGTCTTTACATAAGTGCCTCTCTTCTTGTTTCCTTGAAAACTTTTTCTATCCTTCTACTCAATTATTATTCTTAAAGACAATTAGTCAAGCTCTTGAATGTGATGGCTGCCAGCTGTTCAGTGTTATCCAGAGCTGGAAGAATCTGTTTGCTTTACTACAAACTTGAACTCATATGGAAAACTTACTAAGAGCTAAACAACCAGATAATGTGTGCAATGTTAAAGGGCAGCTTTTTGAAACGTTGAGGAGCTTTCATTCATTAGCTGGAACACAGTAGTTGAGGCCCTTTGGGTTGAAAGGATTAAAGCTATACTGATACGTTAGTACTGATGTGGTCTTTTCTCCTTTTAGCATGCTCTTTATCCCGTTGTCCCAAGTTCTCAGATAATTTTAAGCTCTGCTCACCATTTTCATGTGTTTTCTCTCTTTGGTCTGCTTGTTGATAAAAGCTAACAGCCAGTTAGTTAAACTGGTTGTCCATTTTATTTCCAAGGCAGCTTGGTTTGTATTCTGGCAGAGCTTTGTAGTTTTTCCACAGCAGTTATGAAGTCTTGCAATGCCTGTCCTGGTCCTAGAGGACTCAATCTCAAAAGCAGTAGAACTGAGATGTAGCTTTCTTGTCTGAATCTGGTAGAATAAGTACTTGAATTTGGCTAACTTCAAGCATCGATTTCTTTCCTTTCCTTCTCACCCCTCTAAAATGAAAGACAAGAAAAAATAGGATAGCTGCATCCCTATAGAAAGACTTATTTTCCCTCAGGTAACACATAAACAGAAGAAAGGATGGGGTCAAGGGAAGCTGGTCCAAAGTCTCATAGCTGAGTGCATTCATAACATTCCCTTTCTTCCTGGTTAATACAGCAGAGGGCTGCAGGGAGTTCTAAAGGAAGTGGAAAAAAATTGATGATCCTGGAAGAACAGGAAGCCACAGATCTAAGAGAAGCTGCTTTAGTTGCCTTTGAGAGCATATTTAGTAACAGAAAAATACCCCATATAGCAATATATTTATGTTCTCTAGAGCAACAGAATTTGTGGTCTATGTGGATCACAGTGTGCGCATGAGCTTTGTGTACACAGGAATTCTGGAGTTGTTTGTTCTTTGTTTTCAAGGGTTTTTTTAATGCTTTATTTGCTAGGCAGCAAAGATAAAAAATTCTCTTGAAAAAGGTAGTTTTGTAAGAGATTCTTATATGTTCAGAAGTGATTGTAACAAATGGTCACTGTCAGCTGCTGCTCTTCCCCTTAACGTGGAAGCTTCAGTAGAAAGAACCTGTGCTGTGAGGCAGGGCTGGCCAAAGAGCATGCCTGGCAGTCAGCCTCCGAGCACTGAAACTGTGCAGAGACATCCATGACAAGTATTTGTGATTCACTGCTGAATCCCCTTCTTCTGTGGAACGTCAGCAAAAGCTAACTACTCATTCTGCTTCAGTGCAAGCATAAGTCACTTGTGAAGCATAAGACAATTTCTGTGAGAAACCTACATGTCTGGCATTTGTGGCGTGGACAGTCAGCAGGTTCCAAAGTGGAAAGGAATTTGGGCTGTTTTCATCTTGTCTCTTCTGTTCCCCCTGACACTCCTGACTTTGGAATAGAAACATTGTCCAATTTGATTAAAACAATGACTGTTGAGCAGTTTCCTGCTCTGTACTTTTCAGGTGCTGGGCAATTGTAATGTTAGAGAACATCTTAGATGTTTAATTTATTAGGAAACTGATACTGTGAAGAGAAACTATTGGTCAAGTGCTGGGAATTGAATTTAAACATGTATTATTAAAGAAAAATTATGAAACCTTGATTTAGTGTAGACACTTCTGTGTTAGCCATTAAATGAAACCCAGCCTTAATGGCAAGTTTTAAGGCCGTGTAGGATGACTCACTCCCATTTTCTGTGGATGCAGTTTTGGTCTCGCAAAACTTCTGTAGACAGAAAAAGGCCTTTTGTCCACATTTGAACATTTACGCTTAGGTATAGTAAGGAAAGTAGCCTTTTGCTGAAAGCCTGTGGGAAATTTTCTATAATAAAACACCTCCCTTCCCACTAAACTTTTCCACTAATAAAAAGTTGATTAATAAATCTGTGTTGTATCACATCCAGAACAAAGAGCCTGTCTGGCAGTTCTTTTGAAAAGCATTTTTTGCTTAAATGTCACTTTATAAATGCCACCTTAATAATTTACATGCAAATGAGCTTTGATGTTCTCTTACACTCTAAGAAAAAAAAAAAAAAAGAGTGAATGGGCACATTTGGATTTTGGATGGAAAAGGATAGCCTTCCAGCTTTGCTTTGCTACACACAGAGTGCGTCAGGGAGCCAGCTGGTGCATTAGCTCCAGAGTTCTGTAGTCTCAGCCTCAGCAGCTGGGGCCCAAGGACAGAGTTCCAGTGAACAAATAATCACAGGTGTGGGGTTGTCCTTGGTCCATTTCTGTAGTGGGCACATGGGGATAGATGGAGAGGCTGGGGCAGTAGCACTGTGACAAATATCCATGTACAAAAACCTTCATGTATTTCTTCATAGCCTGAATGTTATTCATCCTGGGAGTAAAGCTGCAGTTTTCCACCACTGCCAACCCCTTGGCAGGAGAAGATGCCTCTTCTTATGAATAGGAAATGAAGACCAGGTCAGGCAGGTACCATGGAGCAGGCACTCTGTGGCTGCCTCTCCTCCCAGCTCCAGTGAGGTGCGGTGGACAGGGAAATGAGGAGGAGATGTAAAAGCCAGCAGGCAGGAAGAGTAGCAATATACCAAAGAAAAGAGTTTATTTACAAACTTCAGGCCCCTTTAAACAAGGGAAACAAAAAGCAGAGATGGGACAAAACAGATCTTTTACGTTTCAGCAGAGGTTTTAGATTACATCTGCCCTGTTGTGTTGAACATGAAATAGGAAGGGATCAATTTCTCCTTTGGACCAAGAAATCAGAAATGTTGCCAGAGTACTAGTTTTGCAAGATCTATAGTGATGAGAATGCCCAAGGTAATGCTACAGTGTGTCCATGCTGTCGGATAAGAGCCTTTTCACATACTGAAGTTGTGGCCCATCTACCAGTGGCAAAGCTCTTCTAAGCCCTAGGCAGACACGAATACTGCATTTTGGGTAAAAAGGCCTTTGGCAAAGAAAAAATGGTAGAGTGGGAATGAAAAAGAAGAAACAGATATAAAAGCAGGATAAAATCTTCAACAACCATCTTTCCTGATTAAATATAACAGTTGCCCCTTTGTATCTGATTTTAAGTCATTGAAAATCAATATGATTTTTTTTTTCTCAGTCTGTTCTCTGTTACTGAGGGCACAGCATTCATGTAAATTTTTGCATAGAAAAGAAAAGCAAAAAAGGACTTTTTAGACTTATGGATCTGTGTCTCCTAGTCTGCTTTGTACGGGGCAGTCTAGCTATCTACTTCTTAACTCCTAGTCACAACTGAAAGTGTAACAGTGGTTTCAAGTACCGTTAATAAAAATCTGAACACCACTGCTGACGAGAATTGCTGCTTATGACTAAAGAGCCTGTTTAAGGAAAGGCATAAATATAGAACTGATAATGAGGTGTTTGAAGGTCTTTTAATTTCCCTAAACCCGTTGTCATTGTGAAGATACAAACCTGAGTGTGGATGGAGGATCAAAAATGCAGATTTTTGTTGCAATTTGTTGCTATTTTATGTAAGACTTCCTTTTCTTCTGCCCTCCCCTTCCCAACGGGTCCATTCTAGTCATAATTGTAACACAAAAAAATGCAAGTCTGCTCATAGTAGTGACAAGTCTGAATGATGCTGTTAGAGAAAGGATTCAGGCACATACTCTGTGTCCATGTGTTCCTCCTCACTGTTGTTGGTTACTGGATTTACTAGAAGTATTAATGGTGTTTGGAAGGGAACTGTACAGAACTCTAGCACCTTCTTAAGGGATATCAGCTAATGTTTAAGATATTTAAGATAAATTATTTAGAATGTAACTCTTTCTTCTGCAGATGGTAGCAAGGTCTCAAATACAACTTTGATGGAGGTCTTACTGATGAATGACTTTAAACTTGTTATCAACAACACAGCATACAGCGTGTCACCTCCTGTAAAAGGTAAAAGCAATGCTTAATAACTCTGATAATCTTACTTCATCTGGTGGTAGACATGGGAATCCTCTGAAAAAAAGGAACCTGTCTGGAGAAAGACACTTCTCTTTTTTTCTTTTTTTTTCCATTGGATGGTCTTGGTTTTGGGGGTTGGAGCTGACAAAAGAATGAAGAAGGGTGGATTCTTTAAATGTTTTATATGACAAACATTTTTTTTCAGATAAGCTGAGTAGTGAGCATGCTACCGAAATGGAAGATATCAAAGCCTTGGTTCACAGACTGTTTGTGGCTCTACATTTAGAAGATCACCAGACGAGGAAAGAGAAGGAACTGCTACAGAAATTGGAGCATCTGAAAGAAGAGCTGCTGCCTCTTGAACAGGTTGGAAAGTGTTGGGTTACATTTTTAAAACTCAAAAGCATTTCCTTTCATCAAGACTAAGTCCTGTGATAGAGGAAGATCAGCATGAGTTGCTAGGGTGTGTCTGTTTTGTTTGTTCTGTAAACACAGGCCAATTAAAATATAATTTTTTTCAGTTCAGTTCTTTTCACTTCTGCTATGCACATTCCCTGGGTAGAAGCCACAACACCTGGAGAAAGCTGTCATGAACATGCCTCAGCACGGCCAATGTTGGGATTGGAAGTCACTTAGTCACCTGTTACTGCATGAGTCCTGTATACCTGTTACGGAAAACAAACAATAGTGAGGTAGAAGTCATCTGTGGCTTAGGCTATGGTTTTCTGTATCTCCAAGGCCACAAGACAGGTTGTGTGGTTGCCAGAATCCAAGAAAGGAAGGTATGAATGTTGATCTAGGGCAGGCTGAACTAACCCAGCATGAGGGGAGGTAGCCAGAAAGATCCTGATCAGTAGGACAAACTTTTCCTTGGCTTCAGACCTGCTTTGTGAGGGCCAGCATTAACCAGAGCTGCCTGGAATGGTAAATGGAAATCCAGTAGGCATAGATCCCTACTAATGGGAAAGGGAGATTAAAAGCAGGACTTCTTGGTGCACAACAGCTAGTGGATCTGGTTGCTCTTGGGTTTCAGTCCTTTCCTCTCTCAGCAGGGTATGTTGACAGGAAGAATCAGTAAAAGATCCTGAAAAAGGATTTAGCCCAGAAGGAGAAAACATAGTTGAGGAGCTGCTCATCAGAGGAGCAGTCAAGTTTGCTTCAACAGGTTCCTCTATTTCTTTTCCTTAGATGAAAGCCAGAATCACAGACAGTGCAGATGCGAAGACCTCCAGGCTTCTGTGGGTTGGCTTAGCTCTGATGTCAACACAAGGGGGAGCACTGGCATGGCTCACGTGGTGGGTCTATTCATGGGACATCATGGAGCCAGTCACATACTTCATCACTTATGGGAGTGCCATGGCTTTCTATGCCTACTTTGTACTTACTAAACAGGTAAGAACTCATTTACAAAATGTCTGGAGTACTGTGAAGGAGGAATATTGTCTCTGAAAATCACAGTGTTCAGGCTGTGATGAAACTATAATTCAGCCTTGCTGTCTGTGCATCAGACAGGGACTTCTCTGACCCCTAATGGGGCTGGATACAAGTGTTGCATTGTATTAACCCAGGTACTGCTACAGGTAAACTGCAGACCAGCCTGGGGATGAAAAGTTATGGACGAAGTCTCTCCTTCCATTTTAAATTTTTGTTGATCCCTTTGGATAGTACATGGCACCTTGCTCATTCTGTAGAGGGAGAGCAGCCAGAAGTGCTGTGCCAGTTTGTGAACCCTGCCTTACAGAAGCAAATCACCAAGCAGTGGGTTTTATTTGCTGGAGTTGATGTATAAACAGTGCAAGGTACCAAACCTTATGGAGCTCTGGCAGTTGCATTATTGAAATATACCCAATTTAGTACCTGAAGAAAAAGGGCATTGCTTTGTTCTGTATAATGACTGCTTTGCCTTGCCTTTGAATGAATGCAGGTAAATCTAGCACAGTTGAAATGGAGTAGGAAATGGACATTGTTTGGAAGAAAAAAAAAAGTTTGCTGAGCAACAAAATAACCTGATTTTAACTGAGCTGCAAAAGACAGACTTGTCCTGAAATCCTGTCAGACCTCAAAAAGTGCTTCCTTTTCCTGTTTTAGCTTTGTACTTTACTGCCAAAGTGGACATCTTGATGTTGAACTTTCTGTGATGTTAAAACTCTTTTTGTGATGGAGGTATGTGGAAGAGTAACAGCACTTCCTTCCATAACACCAACGGTCAGGTTCCTTCAGTGAAAAGGGAATTTGTGTCTGTTTTTATGAAGATTTGTCTCTGAATGGGAGTTTTGCTCCTCACTGATTTTTAAGAAGGGCTAAGGCATTCATGATTTTTGTATGTGAGTAGCTAGAGATCACTGCTTCCCTTTTTCGAACAGCTGCTGGCACCATTGCTTGAGGCTTTAAAGTAAGGCTTTGAGAAACAGGAGCTGAACATCCTCTGACTCCGCAGAAGTGGTGTCCATTGACTCAGGTGGCTCCAGTCACAAAGGTCGTGCTATGTCTTTATTACAAGTGAAAATTCCTTTAGATGCAATAGAAATGATTGCTACTGTGCATCTAAAAGGCCCTTATGACCTATAACGGCTTAACTTCATATGCAGCCTCGTAACAAAACCAAACCAAACAAAACAAAACAAAAAGAAGTGTGTTGAACTAGATAAATCTTCCTGAAACAGGCTGGATTTCTGTTGAAAACTCCTCTGTCTTCTGACCACCCCATTTTCTTGCTAACCCCAAATATGTGCCCTGCTTTCTTCACCAGGACTACATTTACCCTGACGTTAAAGACAGACAGTACCTCCACTACTTCTATCGGAAATCCAAAACCCAGCATTTTAATGTGGAACGATACAACAAGCTCAAAGAAGACCTAGCAGAGGTATTTAAATACAGTCCTTAAATAATTAGTCAGCCTCTGGCTTAAGACTTTTTCAGTGAACTCTCAGCTGACAGAAAATCAACCTCAAGTTTTATTTCTTCTATTGAAAACAGCATACTGCTTATCAGCCCATTTCATCTGTTCAAATAACCACACAATGTTTGTCACTGGCATACAAACTAGTTCAGTAAGTCATCAGAAAGGGAGACCTTAATGAGTTTCATGTAAAAGACATCAGTCAGTTTGTCAGCCCTACACACCCATTTTTTGCATACTCTAATATGTTATGTTTTTGGCCATTTTAATGAAAAAGCTGCATTGCTTTTGGAGACAGTATGTTTGTTGCATAGCTGTGGTGACACAATCTCCCTTCCTTGGAAGGAGGCTGTCTTGCAGAGTTAAGCATTTGACATCTTAATCTTATTCTTAAGGTAAAATGCTTAGCTTTACAGAATATGGGCAACTGAAAAGAAAAGGTGGTGTTTGCACCTAGGAGGCACTTTCTTCCTGGAAAAGTGTAGCAGGTCTCTAAATTCTTAACGCCCCATCCCATCTTGCCAGCCCTGTGTTCAATGTCTTGTAAAACAAAAATTGAAACTAGCCCTAACTTCAGCTCAAGACCCATAGTTCAGGCTGTCATTTCAGGAGCCACACTTGACTTAAGACTAGAGTTTGATGCTTTTTTCAGTAGCCTGATTATGAATTTTGTAATTTCAGGAAAATTAATACTTTGGGATGTGGGTGAGTGGGTGGATGGGCAGGGCACATGCCTCTCTCTGGAGACTGGCTGAATGACCTGAGCAGGTCTGTAAATGTTCAGCATCCTCCGTGTGATTAGTTTGGCTTCTTGTATAAGCCAAATGCTTTCTGAGAGAGGAAAGATACTGGACATGTGGAAGAGGAGGAGAAAATGGAGGGCTGCAGAAGGCTGAACTCTGACTCTTTCTTACACTGGCAGGCAGAAGAATCCCTGAGGCGTCTGCGCCAACCTCTGCGCCTGAGGCTTCCCATCCAGGAAATCAGTGACAAGGACTGACTTGGCTTTGTATATACTTAGAATTGCCCTTTCAAAGCTGATATGAACATTTAGTTACTCTCTAGAAACTGGAATATTTTTGACCACTATAGTTTTGAAAGTTGCAATAAATATCTATAAAAATGATTTGGTTACTTGACAGTATGGGTGAGTTTCTTGTTTTTTGTTTTTTTGAGGGGGTTTGTTTGGTTGGTTGGTTGGTTTTTTCTTTTAAGAAGCTGCTGAAGCAAAGTTCAAAATATTTGTCAAATCTCATTAATAACAGGGAGGCATTCTGCCTGCTGCTGAAATGTCAGAGATGTTTTATAGAACATGGGCTGTCTCTTTAGTACTTCAGCACAGCAGTAGTTCATAGAATAATTAACTTTTGCATTGACATAGATGGAGGGTAAGTTTTCCTGAAATTAACTGTTTCCTTTTCCCTATCTCTGTGCATTGACTCTGTTGGTGCAGTACCACTGGTGGAGGTTAGACCTGCAACACAAGTAAGCTCTTTTTTAGTAAATATTGCCAGAAAAGTAAGATAAATCAAACTAATTTACTGTAAAAACATACATGTTTTACTGTTGCATTTTATCAAAAGAATTTATCAAAACATTCAAATACACATGATTTATACAAAGCTTAAAAGTAGCCATAGTAGGATCTCAGAATGTAGCATATGGAAAGATTTAACTAAAGCAGAACAAGTAAATCAAATGTTTTATACCCAAAAAAAAGTGGATTAAGACACTTTTCTCAGCTTGAGTTCTCCATTGTCCCCCAGTGTTAAGTATATGTACCAATAACATAAAAAATAACAAAAGAAATGTTCACTTCTAGTCAGTATTGTTGAAATTACTGATGCTGCAGTAGGAGCGGTCCTGTGGTGAAACGTCCTGCCGTGACAAAGGCACTGTCACTTTCATGGACACCATGACAGAGTATGGCCCATCTCCTCTGGGGCCAAGGGGAGGAAGAGGCTGAGACAGCACCAAGACCTGAAGGACAAAGGTTTGCAAAAGTGGTATTTTGCAGAGCTGCCTAGAGATGTCCAGCAGTTGTCAGTGAGTCTGGAACCTTGAAATTATTTGCTTTAGCTTTAGACATGTACATGAGCTGTGCGTGGTCTCATTTCACTACTGCTTATTTTTCTCCTAAGGATGCAAAGCACCAGCAAGCTCTAAGTGTGCCACAAATGTGTTTGCAAGCAAAAAGCAGCCCTGTATCTATAGTAATGCTACAACTGTATTCAAGGAATTATGTTCCTTTTTAGTGTTGAGGGAAAATTTTAAAAAAATATCTATAAAGCTCAATATATCCACAAAAACTGGCAGGTGGATACTGCTGTTCAGATTTAAAACATACTGCCTGTAAACTGTGCTCTTGGAGCAAGCCAAGCCAATCTAATGCAACATTTGAAATGTTTTGAAAACTGTAAAACATGCTGAAGTTAAAAGGTTTTTGCTTGATTGCCATCTAAGAAAAAAAGTAACCTAGAGTACCAATTTCAGTAAAACCTGAGCACCTCTTCATAGTTTTGCACCAGTCAATTTTTCCCCAATTCCCTGAGATGCATAGAGCTGTAGTACTAGCTTTAAAATTGCACTTAGATTGTAGAAGCTATTAGGTATACAAATTATAACGTATGATCCCAGAGTTTTTGCAAACAATCCTGTAGAATATTGTCTCCTGAGCTAAGATGGTGTCTTTTATCACTTCTGCAGCGAGTACTAGTTCATGGTTGTCCCTGTAAATAACCATCTACTTAGATTTGGGATGGAAATACAACTTCTTAGTTAACATGGAGGCAAAACAAGGAATCTGTTTTTTTCCTATAGCATTAATGTCTCTGCACACATCCACTCTGCGATGAGCTACTTTCCTGTTAACAACAGTGAGAAGTTCTGTGAACTCCAAGGACGAGCCGTGCCTCCTAAGCACCTCACACAGATCTTGGATGTACCAGGAGCCATTTACGGTTTCACGATGAGAAAAGTAACCTGTTACAGGACAAGAACATAAAATTAGTTCCAAATGCAAGTAGCCATGCCACCCGAACAATATTCATGCAGCTTGCTAGCTGCATCCCTAAGGACTTACTAATGGTGTAAACCTTGCTTTGCCAGTTATGTGATTCCACTGAAAATTCTAGATGGGAAACGGCTTTGAGGATCACTTAGAGTGCTCAGCCCAGAGAAGCGTGGTTCAGGGACTGGTAGCTCTCAGGATTGTATCTGCACATTACAAGAGAGCAGATGGGACTGAGGACAAGATAACATGGACAACCAGAGAGGACAGCCGTGTAGTGCAGGGACATTTATAAGCCACCAGAATCCTACAGTCCTGGAAGAGTGGGGAAATGCTTGCTGTCCGCAGGTGCTCAGCAGCAAGACTGATGACAATGTTTCAACTTGGCAAATTAACTGTAACCTTGATAGTTTATTGTCACTTTTTTTTTTAACATGCAAGACCTTTCCAGATGGGATGTCACTCAGCAGACATGTGAAACAGATACCTGGAACTGTACCCATTACTTTGACTGTGTAATGAAGAAATGTTCAGGCTTGTTACAGTGAAGTATCAGGCATCAGATGTAAAATACTGGAACTCACCTTGTGCCACAGAGTAGCACATGATGAAGTCTGCCCCAGCAGGCAGGGTGTAGACGCCAGCTGCATCCACTTCAGTCTCATTGGCATTGGGGTCACTGCCACTGTCTGTTGAGTCCCGAGCAACAACGGGGTCGTCGTGTTTATCACCCCGACACGCCTGTCGGTGAGAGGTATCGTCACGCTTTCACCTCTGCCAAGCTCACCTCCATGAAGGTGATGCTTCTGACACTAACCAGAGGGGACTTGGGTTCAGTTAGGTCTTCCACATTATTGGGAGTTTGGCTTCATAAAGACCCACTTACTTCTCTGTCAGTTAAAATATTGGTGACAAAGTCCAGTGAAAGCTCTGAGATTGGAAGGGACCTCTTGAGATCACCTAACCTAGTCCAACCCCCCTGCCAGCTAAAACAGGTTGCCCAGGACTGTGTCCAGTCAGCTTTTGAGTATCTTCATAGATGGAGACTCTACAGTCTTTCTGTATAACTTCTTCCAGCATTTGACCATCCTTACAGTAAAAAAAGTGTCCTCATGTGTTTTAATTTGTGCCAGTTGCCTCTTGTGCTGTCACAGGGCACCACTGAAAAGAGCCTGGCTTCCTCTGCTTTATTCCCTCCCGACAGGTGTTTACAGCATTGGTAAGATTCCCCTAAGCCATCTTCTCCAGGCTGAACAGTGACAGCTTTCTCAGCCACTCCTCATAGGAGAGATGCTCCAGTCCCTTAATCATCTGTGTGGCCCTTTGTATTTGAAAGTCTCTATTTTTCAGGTACTAGGAAACCCAGAACTGGACTCTGTATTTCATACGCAGCCTCACCAGTGCTGAGTAGAGAGGAAGAATCACCACCCTTGGACCTTTGGGCAAAGGTGGTGTTGAACAAATGCTCTGAAGCAGAGTCATCATTATGTGCTATTTCACATTCTCTCTTAGTTCACTCTCAAATGTGTTAGTTGAAGGTGGGGATTTTTTTGTGAGAAGCCAGTAAGCCCAGTATTGTCAGCATTGCAGGAAGGCTACTCATGGAGGATAAGAAGGTAAGAACATACTCAAAGGATACAAAGTAGGTAAGGAGCATTATATAAAAATTATCACTAAATAGAGAAGCATGAAAATCTTTCATTTATAGCGATCAAGTTCCATCCTTGCTGTTTCCTCTGATTTCCAAAGGTAAATGCTATGCCAGTTGTGCTGTAAAAGAACCCAGCTGATGAACTGGACTACTATGTTAATTTACTTTTTCATGAGTATATATTACAAATGCTTCTAATTATATGGAAGTATTTTTCTGTCTTTGGCACCTGGTTAAAAAAAAATCAAAGCTGAATGAGTCTTAATGAAAGATGAGTTAACAATGTGCTGATTATTGCAGTGGTCTTGTGCCAAAGGAAAGTTTCATCTGAAAAAACAAAGTTAATTCTTAGAATTACTCTATGAACTACTACAATTACAATCTGCTGAAGGCCAGTTTCTCATTTAAGTTTGCTAATTGTAATCTGGATAAAGATGGGATAAAGCCCTGTGTCACCTGGTTTGACCCCGTAACTGACGGCTTTGAACAGGAGGCTGGACCAGAGGCCTCCTGAGGTCCCTTCCAGCTTGTGTTACCCCGTGAACCTGGGATGAAACCTGAGGTTACATGCAGGTTTTATTTGACCACTTAGCGCAAACAGTGTTTCTGAGACAATAAACCCTTAACCTGATTCTTTAAATTCTAGAGATACCAAGTATTGGTTGTGGACAGAAAAGAAACAAAAACCCCACAAAAAAAACGCTTCTGCAAGGATCAAGTAAAGGGACGTGCCTGGAAGGGCACGGTGTGGGTAAGGAACTTTGATACCCTTCCACAGCATAGCCTAGATGTGTGAACAGTAGGAACTGAGCTGAGGCTGTACACAACTTACTTAAAAAACTGATCCTATATTCTCTACCATTAAATATACACTGACAGTCAATTCAACACGGGCTTAATTGGGGTTGCTCTTCATAGAATTACTTCTTAATAAAAGACACCTAGAATAATAACATTAAGACTTGTGTACATAAAGTTTTTTTTTTTTAAAAAAGTGTCCTTGTCTTAAATGCCTTTTAAGGAACAGTTTTCCATACCTTCTTTCCTAAAGATGCAAAAACTTTCCTTTGTGGAAAGACTCTGAGGAAAACTGACTTCTGTGTTACAAGAAGACATAGGTCAGTGTTTACAGAATAGAAAACAGTAACGTATGTCTTACCTGAATGATAAATATCTTGGGTTTTCCTACAAGACTCTGGCACTTGTCTCCTTTGAACATGTCTGTGATTGTCTCAATTTTGATTTGGGCATCATATGCATAAACATGATCATTCTCACCATGACTCAGGAACACACAAACGAAGCAGTCAGCATTACTGTGGTCATCTGTAGAGGCTGA